ATGCTATGAGATGTAATTAGCAAGACGGACTGAGACTCTGAGGCGACCGAAAGCGAAGGCGTAGACGTCGAGGCGAGACGAGGCAACCGCTCAGCGCGATTGCATCATGCCGACTGACGTGGCAGCTGCGCGGGCGATTTGAATGGCGGCAGACAGCCAGGGGTCTGCGCCTATCACAGTCGACGCTCAGTCTGACTGCGCGCGCATGAAGCTGCGTTGCGGCATCCTCCCGCGCATGGCCTTGGAGCATCTTTGCTCGAGGTCGTGGCGAGTCACGACACTCCCCCGAGCGAAAAGAAAGATGCGACTATTATATATACGAGAGCAAAGATGGATTATTTGAAAAGAAAACCGAATATATTTTTTAGCCAAGGGTTAGGGCCTAGAATGGGAGTTCAAGTTAAAGCGGGTCGATGAGATCTTAAGTTAAAATGGGATTACAATACGAATAAATGTTGCTGCTTCGCGTGGTTAGGGCTTACGTGGGGTGATAACCCAACTACTTACGAAAAGAAAGAGGATACATAGATACACGAGTAAATAATGAATATATACATATATGTACAATACAACAGACTGCGAAATATAAACTGACTGATGTTGACGAACTGGATGACTGGATGTGTGCGTGGCGCGATGGTGTTGACGGATAGGTTGCTGCTTTCCATAGCAAGCACGATAGATCAATAGTGACGATGACCAAGAATTGACGTGACGTAGTGACCATTGACCATTGAGTTCGGCTTGACGTTGAGTGACGATGGATGTGTCGTTGAGTTGACGTGGAAAGAACAGCGGATCTATCTACTGAGCGTAGTTTACGCCGGGGAATACGAAGATGTGCGAGTGTGATGTTTTGGAACTCGCGTAGATGTTTTGAGGAGGGTGTTTCTCCCGAATCTTATGTTTCCCAAGGCACACAATGCAAAATTGTCCAGCGAAAGAGGTGGGTAAAAGCCCGTTTATTTTTCCCTGTCCCTTGTATGGGTCGAAAAACGAAGGAGTTAATGTGGCTGAACTTAAGGCTCGGCGAAAAAGGTTGAATATGTATAGGAGTGTTGTATATATGTCTGAGCTTAAGGCTCAGAGAAAAGAGAACACGTATAAGTAATAAATGTACAGTGGAAAACGAATGGGAAAAGCGAAAAGCGAAAAGCGAAAAGTGCAAGCGAAATATATGCACATGTGGACACACACGATTATTAGCAAAGAGCGAATAACTCACTGTGTGCTGTAACAGCTGGCGTAGATACTATACATAGCATCGTAGAAGACTCCAAGATTGTGACCATAGTCGTTAGTGGTGCGAGTACCTCCCGGGCATAGTGCCGGATGATGGTCGTTGGCTCGGCAAATACGACAAGGAGTTTGACGAGAGCAATGAGCTTGGGGTGCGTGTTGATTGACAACAGAAACAACGGCCGGCTTGTGCGGCGCTGAGATAACGTAGCGATAAGCGGGTGACTCTATCACAGCTAGCCGAGAAGTGGAGTTCCGAGCAGAAGTAACAAGGCGGAGGATCTCTTTCTTGACTCTGCTGGTGCGGACGTTGCGGTTGTCTTGATGGCTCTGGCGTAGATGCACGAGACCTTTGCGTAGAAGCGGCATAACTTGTAGGCCTGTGCGTGCGACGAGGTGGTGATGTACGTCGAGAAGGTGGATTAGGCTGACAAGCATGCGTGTGAGGAATGGAGGTACATGAACACGTAGAGTCGTCTGAATTGTATGCTGCGTCAGTTGTCCGATGTGCCTGAGATGGTAGTGGACAAGCAGATTCCGTAGTAGGCGGTGTTGATGTGACTGGGTTGTTTAGGTACAGCCGTGACAACAGTGTTAGATGATGACGGTGACGTAGGCGGTGGAGACCTTAGGTGGACTTGTAGATGGTGGACTAAGGTGAGTCTGCCGGAGGAGCTGTCAGCGTTGATTAAATGCTGTAAGTGCAAATAGGCGAACGAAGTAGATGTTGTAGCGGATGCGAGAATGTGGTTGATGCGAGTATGCGTAACGCGGAATTGGTGTAGAAAGTCTATTAACACACAATTATCCTCGACTGGATTGAAAATGTGAGGTGCGAAAAGATCGAGAAGCGAGTCTCTGCGAGATTGAAGGTTGTATATGAGCGTAGCGAGTTCTTGTATCTTGTCGAGCAATGTAGTCACAGATTTGAACCAATCCGCGTGTTGAGCGAGGTCCGTAGAAAACTGCTTGAGCATCTCGACGAGTGATGTAAAGCTTTGAAATTGTGGACGATGAGAGCAAGCGAGAAATTACGAACCGGTGGATAGTCTAGGTCTGACTCTGGTGGAATGATTGCTTCATCGACGCTGGTTTCGCGGATGGAAGTGAAAAACCGATGATGCAAAAATGCATCTATGAAGCACAAATCGCGGTTAGCCAAGTATTCAAGCGAAAACGTAGTGTCAAAGTTGACAGCGAGTGTAAGAGATTGTGCGATGCGAAGCGGTAAGCGATCTTGCGGAGGAATAGAGATATCCTGCGAGCGATCATCTTCGAGGCGAGAAATGTCCTCGTCCGAGTAATGACCTGTTGAATATCTGTAGATGAATTCTAACGTAGTCGGATGACGAGTTGATCTATGCGGAGTAGATGAAGTGGACTTGTCGTCCGAGAACGGATGAACTAGTGGACAATAAATAGGTGCGAAAAATGGAGGTAATGAAACACTGGATTTCAAATCGCGAATTGCGGAGACTGTCAACAAAGCTTCTTCCGAAAGATTCAGAGGATTTTGAGTTTCCGAAGATGGAATTGAAGTGGAAACTGACTGTATAACCAAAGAAGTAGGTGCCTGACGCGACGTAGTCGTCTGGGTGGATGTGGATAACGAGACGTTGGTCGACGTAGGCGAAATAGACATCGTAGAACGAGCGCACAGAACGAAGTATCTGAAAGGAAAACTATAAAAATAGAAATGGACAAAAACTAAATAGTGAAAAAGAGAAATATTGTAAATGTGTGAGGGGGTTATGTATGTGAGTGTGAAGTGTGAGGAGTTAGGTGTGTGAAAGGAATAATGCGTGATGAATATAGTACCTAAAGTGTGTTGAGACAGGCAAAGAGAGATTGAAGCGTGAAATTAAGCGCGACTGCGAAAATGAATGATAAGTGATAGGGTTAATGCGAGTAAACTAAAGCGTGATGAAATTGCGAAAGAGTGACAGAAGTTTCTAGATATACAGCGGTGCGTAGATTGAATTTGCCTGACGCAATACAGATTACGGTAGGTGACTGTGGAGCGAAATTGTTGTAGAGGAATGAAGGAACTGTTATAAGAGTAGTAAAGAAGAGGATAACAAGACAAGATTATGGAGAGTATGTGTGTGCGTATGTTCTGCGACGTTTAACTGCTCGAGGTGGCTGTGTACGAAGGGGCTGTGACTCTGACGTTACCTGAGGTTGTTCTGGATGCAACGATCTCCAGAGGGTACAGCTGATTGAATCGACCTCTGTAATTCGTTGCCGTTGGAGGTACGTACTGTGGCGCTTCTGATCTGATGAGCGCGGTCCTTCGACAGCCGGATAATGATTGCCATAGGCCAAGTACCACGAGGAGTTGACTTGTCGCCTATTAGGACGACTTCTCCAATCTGAGGAATACGTGGCGTGGACTTGCCTTGGGAAATACGCCTGGAATGTCGTTCTGAAATAGCTGTAAGATAGTCTGTTGACCAAATAGTCCAAAAACGATCTAATGCAGCGACGGTTTCTTGATGCCATTCGACGAGACGATGGTTCGAAAGTTCCAACTGCGAAGACGACGGACTAGAAGATGGTAACTGAAGCTGAACCTGTGGTAGTAGAAAATCTACTGGACGTAGAACTGACGGCGAGTTGATGGTATCTGACAGTGCTGTCAGCGGACGCCAGTTGAGGGTAGCTTCGATTTCCGTGATGAACGTTGAAAACTGCTGGAACGGAAGAAGTGACGAACCGATAGCTGACTTAACAAGACCGACAAGCCTTTCCAAGGGGAAAGGGGCGTGATGAACTTCCAGCGGATGTGGCGGCTTGTAAGATAGGAGGAAACCTGAGAAGGCGACTGTTGCTCGCTGATGATCTTCTGCAACGTGTCGTCTGCAGAACGAAACGTGGAGGCGTTGTCGCTGAGAATGAGTGACGGAGTGCCTCTTCGGGCTACGAATCGACGAAAAGCGAGGAGAAATTCCTGCGTCGTGTTGTTGAGAACGAGTTCTAGATGAATTGCTCGAACGGCCATACAAGTGAAGAGACAAATCCAAACTTTAGCCGATGTAGCGAAGAGTCCTTGTACCGTAGAGGACCAAGATAGTCGAGTCCGATGTTCTGGAAAGGTCGAGATCGATTGACTCTTTCCTGCGGTAGACTTGGCATGTCCGGATAACGGTACGGAAGTGCGTTGGTCTTTTTGCACACAGTGCAAGCACGAAGTAATATTGGCAACGGTATTGCGTGTAGACGGAATATAATAAGGATTGACGGAGTGTGGCTATGGTAGCGTGTACACCGGAATGGAACTGCATGCGATGGATATGCATGACTATAAGTTGCACAAGCGGATGTGACGGAACTAGAAGGAACCGGCGTTGAAGGAGTGACACTGAATGCTCCATACAATTAGCACAGTGGATAAGTCCTGTAGAAGAGCGATGAGCGTTGAAGCGATGAAGCGGTAGTCGACTGAGAACTTACTCGCTTTCGCGGTAGTGTTCCTTCATGAGTCAACACTTCGGCAGCGGCGAATTCTGACACGGAAGTGTGAGTAAGCGGAGTAGACTGTTGATTGTCGAAATTGGGCGAAAAACGACGAATTTTGGCAAGCATACAGTGCATGAATCTGACGAGGGGAGGTCGTTCAGGGCGTGGAGCGCTTTTTGAAAACGGTTTTTTGCATGAAATAGGGGCAGGTGCAGTGAACACAGATCTATGGTCCATTTCCGCTAAATGGCCTTCTGAATGCCAAAAAAGGAGTGAGAATCATTTTGTTGGAAACTGCAGTTTTTACTGTTAAAAGTGGTGTGTTTCATTCATGGCGTGGACTACTTGCGTAATGGAGGGTCTTCTTAAGGTGTGTCTCGAAAACATCGAGAAATTTGGTCAAAATTGGAAAGTTGTCGTGGTGGTGTCATGCTGTGTACTAAAGAGCGTGTGGAAGTTCCATAAGAGCATTTGGCCAACATCCTCCAGCAGCGTCGGTGGTGTAGTGGTTAGCGATGGGGATTTCGATTGGCACGCTTGGTCTGGGTTGGTGGTTCGGATCCCCGAGGCGTCGGGCTTTTTGCATTTTTTGTAGGCACTTCACGATTTTCTCCAAATAGCACAGGTGCCAAAATGGATGTGTTATTCAAGACCAGAACTATTGATAACCCAGATTAGGTAAGTTTTCACCGAAAGCAGGCAAAAAAAGTTGTACCGTTGGAATTTCGCCGGATAGCGGCGGCTCCAAAAAACAATGCCACATTCGTGACAAGAGCACCAATTTACCTCTGGTGCCAACGTTTCGAAGAAAATCATCTTTGGCATCTTTGGCCTAACTTCGAAAACTTGACATAAGTAAATCTTCAAGTATTCCCACTCGCTCGGAGGCGAGCTCCGCACGGAAAACTGGCAGAAAACTACTGCACTGTGGGTGACCCTCCGACCAACACCAGCTTGCTTGTCTGCTATAGTCTATTCGGCAGGAGCATCTCTCATTTTTTGAGGACTATCTAGATGATGTCATTTCCAAGAAGTTCACCGTCGAGCTTTACGTGCCACAGAGTTTACTTATCCATCTAGCAAATTTTCGAAGTCGGGCCAAAATCTTGATTTTCTTAGAAACATCGACTACAAGGGTTATCAGGTGCCCTGATTACGAATACAACATTCGTTTTAGCTCCGACATCATTTCGGGCCCCTATGACGTTCTTCGACGGCACCTTGGTGAAGTTTTTGCGTCACAACTTTCTCTCACCAGTTTTTAAAAGCCCACTTGTAAGGGTTTTTGTAAGCCTAATTGTAATTATGACATCAATTGCTGGTGTTGGCGTTCTTCGGTGCCAATTTTGTGGCGTCAAATCACAGTGCAAAAATTTTGTCACCGCGGGGAATCGAACCAAGGACCACTTTCCCACCCTTTTTTGGCATTCAGAGGGCCATTTAGCGGAAATGGACCACAGTTCTGTATTCCAGGCACATCCCTCTATATCATAGGAAAAACCGTTTTGAGAAAGCGCTCCACGCCCTGAACGACCTCCCCTCGTGAGAACATAGGCGGTAGAGCGAACAAGCTTGATATAGCGACTAAAGGCATTAAAGCGAATAGGTGATGTGTAACTAGATGGAGCCTGTGTGACGAGTGTTTGATACTCCTGTTGAGCGTCCTGTTGATGTTCCTGAGACAAGTCGATGTTGTTTGCTTGTGGCCATTGTGATTGCGGTGTACGAAGAAATGATGGACCTGACCACCAATGTGATTTTAAGCCAAGGAAGTAGGTGTACCTCGAGAGGCACAATCCTCTGGATTATTTTCCGACTGCACGTAATAAAGAGGTGCACGGATACCGAGTGATTGGAGGTAGTCTAGGATGGAACGTGCCTCTGTGATACGGCTGTTGACAATGGTGCGTGAAATGCGACTAGACTGAATCCAATGGAGAACAATTTGGGAATCTGAGAAGACGTGAGCTGCGGAGATATCTAGTTGCAGTTGCTGATAGACGAACTTGACAAGACGAAGGCTGATGAGCGTAGCCAATAATTCCATGCGTGGCATGGTTATTGGTTTACGCGGACCGAAGAAGAGGATTTAGCCATTAACAAGGTGAACCGATGGTAGCGAACCGATTCCTATTAGCAGGTACACACAAGAAGCGTATAAACGTTTCGAGGCGTCTCCAAAGACGCAGAGTTCGACTGACGACGGAGCACTTAGGCACGATACAACGTGGTATCGGCGGAAGCGGATGTTTGACGTCCTGAACGAGTTGATGCCAACGTTGACGATCTTCATTGTCGAGTGGGTCATCCCATTGGTACTCCTTTGCCCACATAGTCCTGTAGGAAGATCTTGAATGGGGCTAGGAACGGTGATAGGAATACCTAAAGGATCGAAGGTAGAAGCAAGAGCTTTAAGCGCGGTACGTTTAGAAATTACTGCATGATGAATGGGTATTTAATGGAATGATAATGCGGTCTGAAAGCGGATTCCAATGAATACCTGAAAGCGAAACGTGAGTGGAACTCTTCATACGGTCTTGCGGAGCGATAGCTCGGTTAACCGTGGTGGAGTTACACATAATTGGCGAGATTCATATGCATCGAAACGAACAGTGCTTTTGACTCTTTGTACTTACGTATTGCTTCTTCCTCTGTACGTGCACCGTGTACCAAATTGTCGACATGCGTGTTGCATTCGATCTCCTTGTTCAGCGGGTGTCGGATTGCGACGAAGACAGTATAAGATGGAGGCTGCATAAAGAAACAGTGAAGCTGTTATACCAAAGGTACACGAGTAAAGCGAAAAATCTTGATGTTACGGTCGGATGGTGGCAACGACGGATCTTTCAACCATAGGAATCCTGGTAGCGTCCTCTCTGATCGATCTGAAGGCGAATCTGCAAAAATGCTTTTTCTACGTCTGAAACGAGTAAATATGGATGTAAACGTGAACGTAGAAGGATTCCTACAAGGTCTGGGAGAATGGAGGGACCTGGATGGAGACAGTCGTTGAGGCTTGGCGCTCCCTTGTAGTGAGACGATGCGTCGAACACGACTCTAAGCTTGGTTGTAGCTGACGATTGCTTGACTACTGCTTGGTGCGGAATGTAGTATATTCGTGGGTCGTCCGATCGATGTTCCTGGACTTCCTCGATAATTCCTTGTCTGTGGTAGTCGCGATCGTTGCGGCGTAGAGTTTCCAATGTCTGGTTTGGCAATGAGTGTTCGATATTGACTTTCGAGTCTCTTAAGGCGAGTTGTTTGTTGTCGGCAAGCCTGGATGCGACGTCTTCCATGGAAATTGAACGTATAGGTATCCCTGAATCTCCAGAATGGTGTCTTCGGAGGCGTTGTAGCATTCTTGTATCTTCTTCTTGATCAAAGAGCGGATCGATATCGTCGGTGATGCCTATTATGTCGAGATTGTCGAAGCGAGATATGGGATCAGTTTCGTCTTGAAGCGTCGTGGTAATGGCGTGAGCTGCTTGTTGTTGAAATTGAACGAAAAAACTTCGAAGCGGAGATGGTAGGTCCGAAACGAGGTATGGCACAACACTAGTCCTGATGGTAATGGGACTGGCGATTCCGTGGTGACGATATCCCAGAAGTAATCTATTCCAATAAAGATGTCTGGGTTGACGCGTCTGAAGATGGTAAGCGACTCCAGCGGAATGTTCAATGAGCGAAGCGTATCTATGTCTTTCTGTGACAACTGGATCGGTGTAGTCGGAGTAGTAATGTTGTCCGTGGTGTTAAGTGTGAGCATGAGTGAGTTCTTGTTCACATCCGTAAGCGGGACAAAGACTTTCTCCGAGCGCTCCGTGTTCCTGATAGCTTTGAACGTGACTGTGGTAAGCATTCTTTGTTCCTGGACTGCGAGATGGAATTTCTGCACAGTGGCTCGCGTAATAAAGCTGGTCTGTGAGCCTGTGTCCAAAAAGAGGGTAACAGATTCTCGAATACGCGTAACAGGATTGACAAGGGATGCTTCTACTGTCATGATGGCACATGTGAGCGTTGTATCTGATGCAACAGAAAGCGTAAGATGCTCGTATCGTTCGGCTGGTTCGGTATCGTCGTCGGAATGTGCGACGGAGTGGACTGATGTAACTTGTCCTCGTGAGGGAGTGGATGTCCTTGCTGCAATATTGCGAGATGGCGAGATACTGTCACGAACAGATGTTTGAAAACGAACATGATTGTCTGATCGACTGGATCTTCAAGGTCGACGTGATCTTCGTGTCGATGGTGAGATCCTACGGTCTGAATAGTGTCGAGACGGTGATCGAGATGGAAAACGACGTTGCTCGTTCGACGGTGTTCTGGACTGACGGTAGCTACGAGAAGAATCTGATGACGGAGTACGGCGTCGATCGCGTGTTCGATGCGTTCTATTCGACGATGAAGTATCTCGTTTGTTGCAAAGAATGCGATGGTGGTTTCCCAAACAGCGACTGCATTTCGAATATCCACAATGGGTACTAGCGTTACCTTGATGTAGACACTTCCAACATAAGTTGTGAGTTCTTGCAATGAGGCGACGATTCGATACGGACATACGGTGATGACAGCGAACGGACTTATGGTTGAGGTGAACCACAGAAGCAACAAGCGGTTAGGGTCATATGTGGGGTTCTGGCGTAGGTGACTCTGGAAGCGGAAGCTGAAACCGGGTTAATCGTGGAAATCTTGATGATTGTAGATTTACCAATAGAGTAATCGTCGAGTTTCTCGAACTCTTCGATGACCTCGTTGAGGCCGTCCAAGAGATCGGGAAGCGTCCACTTCTTACCAGAACGGTGTTCGAGCCTGTTGACTTCTAACTGCGTATCTCTAGGGAACTTGCTCTTGATGAGTTTCATGAGAGATAGCGAAGTGGTAGTATCCTCGAACCTATTGAGCTGTAACACGTATGACTGAATCTGTGAAAGCGTATCTCTCTGCGACGAGGCTGAAACAGATGATGTTGGTAACTGTTCTAACCTATGATGAAAGAGGTTATGCGTAAATTGCGGACGATCGTATCGTTTTTTGAGCGCTTGAATCGCAAGATGGTAATTTTCTGGCTTAGATGGATCGAAGCCTTGAACGATAAGCGCGGCGCTGCCTTTAAGGGCGTTAGTAGTTAAGGTAGATGAACTTGCTTGCAAGCGGCAGATGGTCATTGTCGTGGATGGCGGTTCAAAGCGACACCAAAAGTCATGGAATTGCGCGATATCTCCATCGAATACTGGCAGTTCCAACTTGCGAAGCTGGATAGGCTGCGTGTATGGCGTAAAGGAAAACTGCGATGACGATTGATGCGGATATTGATCCCTGCCTGCATGCAACGACTGATTGCCAAATGAAGCATTGCGTAGCGGCGAAGCGGATAGCGTTAAAGCGGCGGCTGCGTTGGTGACATTATCTGTTAACTGCGAGCGAAGCGAAGTTTCTATGACTTCGTCCATCATAAGCTGCGTGTCTAGCGCTGTGATTGTTTCTAGCGCATCCTGCTCATACTTTTCGCATTGCAGTTCGTTCCAAAGTTGCTCTGCCTCCTCGCTGCGTGCTGCGCGGTCATCTTGAGTCTGAATATACATAAGGAGCGACTCATGGCGTTCTTTTAAGATTTCCAGTGCGCGTTCGATTCCGAACTTGGCGGCTGAGATGGATCCTTTGCGACGGAAGGATGTTCGCGAAGTTGAACTTCCGGAGCAAGCGTAGTGTCCAAAGCCGTGTGAAACGAAGAATCGACAGAGGAAATCAGTTTGGCGAGTGTTCCAACTGCTGTGGCGATTCTAGCCTTGTGTCCTCGAATGGAAGACATGATGTTGTAAGCGGGCGAATCTGGAACAGCTTTGATTGAATATCCATGAAGCGTCGTGATGTTGATTGACGGCGAATGCGTAACAATTGAATCGGTGTAGACGAATTGACAGGCGATAATGAGTCATAGGCCGGTAAACGTGTAAGCACAACGGTAGTACAGAAGCAATGACGGCACGACTTACGAAGAAAAGGTAGGCAGCATGGTGACATAGATAGGGATAATCACGGACAGCGACGACTGTCAGTGCACTCAAACGAGTGTAGTGCGGTTTGAGGGGTACGGTGGTGGTGAGCACAAAAGCGACCCTGGCCTCCCCTGAAGCGAGCTTCAGGGGAGGCCAGGGTCGCTTTTGTGCTCTACCAGAACGCTACCAGAACGCTTGTGAGGCAATATACCATGCCCCGCGGCCCTTCCTCGCCTCCATCCACCATGAAGAACAGCCTTTGTGCGGGTTTGACCACTCTTGCGAGGGCTGGACTGCTGGTAGGCTGCAGAGAGTTCCACCCGCCGGGCCTCCCAGGCAGACGCTTCGTACGCTCAAACTGCAACTGTTACTTGGAATGTGTAACCCATTTCTTTGGAACACGTACTGCAGTTTACCTAGCCAGTGCTGCCGGAGTTTTATCACTGGAACCATAAAAGCATAAAAGGATAAAGCATTTGCCGTTGATCAATCCCTTTTTGGGATGCGGCACGCATTCTACTCCCATTTGTACATTCGCAGTGGCGTTTGAATGCGATGGCCTATACAATGACGGGGGCCAGCCGATGTACAAGTCAGTGTTTTTATCCTCCCAGACAAGTCTGGTACCAATTAACCGACCCCGGAGGGATGGAAGGCTTGGTTGGCCCGGGCGACTCACGACCCAGGATTTGATCCCCGGACCGCTCGCGTGGTAAGCGCGCCACTTGTCACTACACCACTTCCGCCCTGACACTGGATGACACTGGAACCATACCATGGAATATCTGCCACCTATTCCGTGGTAATACTGGTTCTAGGCTTGTGAACAGGAGACGGCGATACAACGTGCAGGTCTGCAGATAGGCCATATCCGTGCCCTATGGAACTATGTCGCTGACTACGCCTACGCAGTGTGCTAATAGCCGGCTGCCAGGGCCGACACACTGTCGTGTAAATGGGTGATTATATATAGGGGTGGAGTGATGTGCGCACGAACGGGAACGATCGCTACAGCCACAGACGGCTTTCACCGAAGGTGACTGCGGTCGATGCACCAATTTTGTCGTGCCCGTGGACGGGGTCGAGCGCGTGCAAGCGCGTGCATCGGTGATCTGTCCACGGGACCCGGCAAAACGTGGGATTCCAGTGGGTGCCCACAACACCTCTGAAGGGAATGCGTGCGCGAGAATGCTCTGAATTCCGTGCCTGCTGCGGGCTCAATCACAGGGCCTTATTCCCTGACCCCAGCAAGTACGTCGTGTACTTGACGCGTGCGTAACCCTGATGTAGCTGGGCGAGAAATGCGGTATGCTGCGTGCCGTGTAGATGTAATTGACCGTTGACCGACAAGATGCTAAGCGAATAAGCGATAAGCGGATGTAAACCTGATTGCGAATGTAAAGCGAAGAATACTTACTGAACTTCATGTATATCAACACAGAATAGAACAGAATTACAATATGAAACCTGTAATAAACTATTAGGAAGGAAAACGGTGAATGACTACGATTGACTAAAGATGACTACATATTTGAAATAACCTAAACATACATGATGAACTCCCGGTGGTTACCTAAACTACTATGGAGAAAACTACATTATGATTACAATGGGGGAAACCCTGGCCTACTATGTGATATTACTAAGTAAATATTACTATTTATAGAAAGCGAAGTGAGGATATATGCGGCCAATGCGAGGTCCGCCTAATGCTATGAGATGTAATTAAGCAAGACGGACTGACCTTCTGAGGCGACCGAAGCGAAGGCGAAGACGTCGAGGCGAGACGAGGCAACCGCTCAGCGCGATTGCATCATGTCGACTGACGTGGCAGCTGCGCGGGCGATTTGAATGGCGGCAGACAGCCAGGGGTCTGTGCCTATCACAGTCGACGCTCAGTCTGACTGCGCGCGCATGAAGCTGCGTTGCGGCATCCTCCCGCGCATGGCCTTGGAGCATCTTTGCTCGAGGTCGTGGCGAGTCACGACATTGATGTTCCAATGGAAGTTTTCTCCTTGTCGGGTACCAATGGTTTGGTGGCTGGATGAACGCTCCGGGCGCATGCATGTAGGTCAGACTTTATACTCTCCTAGCTTACCGTTTCCACGAGGGAGGTCGGTATACCCGTGTTTCGAAGTTGCGGTAAGCTCCTATGACCCCTGCTGTGGCGAGTGGGCACCATAGCCGACTGGTGCAGGTGGGTATCTTGTACTGGCTTACGCGCATGCGCGCTGGAGCGGACACGGCGTCACTGGGCCGTATTGGTCACGGGATGAGCAGTTACACCAGTATATACGCGCGCTGAAACGGCAAATTTTCTCCCGCGCCGCTCCCCTCTCTTTCTTCTTACAACCTAAGCAAGTACGACCCCTCCCCCTATAAGCTCACCAAAATACGACATAGGGTTGACCCTGCTTGTAGGTATTTATGGGCAATTGTAAACTCGGATAAAAGATTCGGCCAAATTTCCAACTCTACTTCCCGCTTGTCAACGCTTCGGCTACTTTACCGGCGAAACCATTTTGTTGCCATTGATATACATACGTCAGCAGTAAAGCAGCAAACGAGTTGATTTTTGGACGATTGGTTAACACGTTGACGACAACGCGCGTTTTGGGTTTTTGCGCCGCGTGGGACCACGGCGATTTTGCAGGCGCCGCCGCCTCACATAAAATCCGTGAATTTTGAGCTTTAACTACGCAAAACTCGGATGCAACAAAATGTTTCGAATGATATTCGATGTGTCAAACTTATCAGAAGGAACAACTGTAAAAGTTCGATCGAATTGACGTTTTCTGGCAATGAAAAGGCAAGTTTCAGTTGCTTTTGCTAGTGAACCTCAAAATTATTTTTGACGCGGTTGCTCCACTAAAAACATATATCTTGCTATATGTGTAGGGTCTGTACTTACTTCTACTACTCTTTTTTATGACCAAGATTGTCAGAATATAAAGAAAACTAGGAATGAACACAATTGGGAAATTCGTAGGACTTAGAAAACCTTCGCTAAAAAGGAGCATATTCAACCATTCGATGAACCTCGCCGTGTCTAGTCATATTATGGTGTGGTCTATAGAATAGATGCAAAAAATTAGAAAAGAAGTAGCGCATGCGCGAAAAAATAATAATTTGTGTGTGCAGCGCATGCGCTGCACACGGTCCCACACGGTGCTCAAGGTGTGATGCGCATGCGCTGCACAATGTCGTCAACGTGTTAAATCACGAGCAAAGTCTGTGATTTGTCCACACCTAGTAACCGCAAATATATAATATTATTACGTCGGTCAAATAGAATCCGCCGTTTAAGCGGCTAAATTTGAAGCATCATAACTAATGAGATAACACTTAAAGGCATGCCCCAGGATCACATTGGTGTGGCTCTTGCACACGAATGCGAATGTATTGGTGCGAAGTGGGCCGGCAGTAAAGAAAAAGGAAAAGAATCCGTCGAAAACGCTTAGGTTAAGGGCTCACTCACCTTCCTAATCGGCTGTGCTAAGGGAATGAGAGACTAAGCGCGGAGAGGAGAGTATGAGGCGAGAGAGCGCTACAGATGAGAGAGCGCCAGACAACAGCCTGATAAGAAAAAAAATCTGCAGCTTCAGCAGCTTACTTTGCAAGGCCCAAGCGCTCTTGTCGGTTGGTTTCCGTGCACGAGAACGCCACATTTGTGATTGTCCTCTAGGGTCTATACTACAGACCGAAGAGAAGCGTTCACACGACCTCTGCCTGGGTTGTGCCTTTAAAGTAACATATCATTACACACCATTACACTACACATCATTACACTTGAAATGGAATCATTCATTTTCATCATACAATGTTGCCGATCGTAGCCATGTTCAGATCTT